AAAAATGTCATATATTCTAAATGAAACATTTTATAAACAGAATTTAAATGTGTTATTTTCTGCTATTTTGAGTATCAATTACTTTTAATGTAATTGTGTAGGCACATGATTTAACTATTTCATTTGACAGGATAAAAAATATCACATGAAAATAAGGCAAATGGTTGACGTATAAAAAAGAAAAACAATCACTTAATATTACTGAGCTTCTCATTAACTCAATTATGTCTAACAGCTGTCGCTGAAAAATCAGTCAAAGCAATTGGGTTTAATACTGCTTTTTTGGTATATCAATAGATGTACGGTGTAACGGATAGTAATTTGGAATGAGAGATTGGAGAGCCGTGTTCGAATTCCATTCGAGTTCTCTACATTCACTTACGCGCAAATACTCTTGGAAAAAGTATGCTATTCTTAAATAGCAGGGCCGACTGGGATTTTTAGCCATGGTTGACAATCAGAAAAGAGAAGGACAACTCTGAATTCAAAAGCGTTTATGACACTGGGTCCAAAATTACGGGTTGCACTTTGGCAAGGCACAATACCCGGAGAGCACCACTGGCAAGTTTTTAAGATATCAGCACCAGAATGTGGATGTGGTCAATTCCAAAATCTAACAGGCCAGATCTGTGACATTTGAACTGTGTTATGCAAAAAGCATCCTTCATTCTGGACAATTATGAGATCTAATCATTCCAAGTCAGATAGAAACTGCCGGATCACAGAGTAGAGTCTTGTGTCTCCTAATATATACGCAAATGAAACCTCTATGATGACACATGGAACATCTCGACAGACGACTTAGCTGGTAATTCAAATAAGTAAAACGATAAAGATCAACAAAAAGAAGTCAATAAAGCAATACAAAGCTGTATTTCATAGTTTTGCTTTGAAAAAATAAGGTATTTTTTTCTATTTAAAAATAATAACAATAAGAGTGACTATCAACGTGAGAAATGTATACAAACTTCTAAAAAAATTTTATATATCCAGATACACGAGGTCAATGATTCTATTCAATATTGCTACACAGATTTGCTTAGCATTGGGAAACAATATTATTCAGTTAGACATAATTTGAGCAAAAAGTTAATGCCTTTGTATGTTTAATGCATGCACAAGCATTTTATAAGTTTAAAGAATGAAACAAACTTTAACCCTGCATGTTAAATAAAAAAAAAGATAAAACTTATCTGGTGCTTAATAAATGTTAAACAACTCAAAGACAACGTGACATTCTCATCGCGAACCATCAAAATTATCGAATTATAAAAAAATAAATTCTAGCATTTTCCCATCATTTATTTATTCAACTTTATCTAAAGAAAAAAATCATAATAGTTTAGAGAGTATTGTAGCATATCTACGGACGATAATGAGCATGTCGCCATTCATATAAATACAATAGTAAATAGTCTGCAGTTGGAGATTCGTCTCCAACTGTAGACAAACTTTTGTGTACCTAGTTAATGAGACTAAGTGTTGTTCCTGGCTGCCTCTTTGGTTATGATCCAAGTCGAGATTCCCTACCCCTCCCCAGTTTGTTTTGGCCCCCTTTTCATCTCGACTGGGTCAGCTTTTATATTTCCCATGTCCGTATATTTTTTCTCCTTTCTCATTCCCTTAGCGAGAGAGCCTCTTGATTTTGTCAAAATGGGCAGAATACAGCGGCCTCTCTGTTTTGAGGGTTGAACGGGCCCTACTAACATCAGTTATGTTTAATTTACTTGTGTTCGTATTTAGTTTGTTTTGGGGCTCATTCCCTCCCCTCTCATATTTTATCATAGATTTTTATATATAATTATTTATTGACATTAATTTTTTATGGCATGTGGCGCGTTTTGTAGGACCCTCTTGAGAGAATGCGGTATTATGGTGTATGGAGGATTGATTGGTGACGGACGAGTTTTTTTTTATGGTGAATGCGAAAATTGTAATGAGTGAATGGGTCGTGAATCGGATTAGCTAGGTTTAAGATAGTTAATGACGACCAGCTTCAACCCCTCCCTTTTTTGGCCTTGTGCCGCAATTGTTTATCAAAAACACAATAAATAACGATTCGTCTCCAGCTGTGGTGGTCAAACTCTCTGCCTCCGGACAGAGAGGGGATCTCCAGATGAGGGTTTGTCGAAGGGCAGGGTCTCTTCTCGGGAAATAGCTTCCCGACCCCATTGTATATGGGGTATTTACGGGGAATTTTTTGGCCGAGACTACGGACTCAGATACCCCACATTAAATCCGGCCTTGTACCACATACCGACTGCGTGGGGCGCTTTTTAGATATTCTGCAGTTCGAGATTTATTGTGGAATTCATTTGACTCCTAACAGTTGACTACTACTTCTACGCGCCGCTGGCGAATCTTATATTTGATGTTCTTGTACATTACCAACCTTCGTGTGACTATTCTATTCAGTAACCTTCCCTAGGATACAAAAGATACGCAACTGTATTATGTATATTTCAGTCATTAAACTTAAATTTTTACAAAAATGTTTTAAGATACCTTTTCAACATAATTTAGCATTGTGACTGAAAGCAACATATTTCTCTTTTATGTCAAAACATTACATTATATATATATATATATATATATATATATATATATATATATATATATATATATATTGCATAAACTTGGAAGTAAGGCAAGATTTATCTGAATTTAACATTAAGTTCATTTTAGCTCAATTCTAATATTTTGGCTTCGGTCTTTAAAATACCGAAAAGAAAAAAAATTACATTATTTACAATTAAGAACATACATCATCTCAAATGTCAACAATGTGGTTTGAAATTTTAACGTTCGAGACAAAAATGTAGACATCATGACAGTTGATATTATCTGTAGATATTTACTGATTTTACTTAGGTATGACATAGGAGCACTCAAAAAGATTCAAAGTTATGACAACAGGAGCAATAGTGTTCAGTACTATCTCACCAACTATTCGCCTTCAGCAGTGGTGTGAATTGTATACCAAACAAAGGGAATTGAATATAGATTTCATTAGCAAAATAATCATTGAATTTTTACAATACACTTGAAATAAAACTTAAAACAAAACAAAGCTATTCCACTGTACCAAATATCTATGTGTCAGCCTAACTGGGAATAAGATGGGTAATGAAAAATAACTGAAAATGTACAGCACTAAAAAAAACACAAACAACAACAAAAAGTCAATGACCATACATTCCCGAGATAAATTTAACTAATTTGAATAAAATAAAGACTCGACCTATCCTAACCTCACTTGGTTGGACGGATATATCTTTCTCAGGAAAGCGAAATTATTAACTAGTAATGACAAAACGTCAATCCAAGTTAATTTGGCAACATACACACTATATTCATCCATCTATCGTCAAAGTCCGACGAGGACAACCTCTCCCTCCTGATCTTCACCTTAAGCTGATGCTCAACGCTCGCGACTAAATGATAAGGAGAAAGTGACAAATCTCCGTGAATGCCCGTCTTTCGCGTCGTCCACATCACCGTGCACATCAAAGGGAGAGTTTAAATACATGAATTATATCTTCTATGTGCTATGTCCCTTCAGGACTCTGGCAATCAGAGCTCTCCACAACTTCCTGTCTTTTGTTACTTTTTGTAAAGTTTGTCTTTTTCCTATCTCTCCTAATGCCTGTTCTGCTAACTAAGCTTCTTCGATAAGTTATTCACTGATTTTCTTTTTCCCTAATGCCTTCAATGTCGTATGGGTTTCAAATTCTCCAAGCACTCTTCCCTCATTACGTGCTCTAGTAATTTTAATTATTTCTTTATTCTAAGTGCCATTTTGGTTTCCATTTTCCTTAAAACTTCGTGGTATTCTCAGCATCCTTCTGTAAAGCCACATTTCTGTTGTCCCAAGTCTTACTTTTTTTATCTGTGTGGAGATTCTCCAGAATTCACTGCCATGTAGGAGGACCGATATTACATAACAGCTCAGAAGTTTTTTCTTTGTTTCTAACGAAATTTTCCAGTTTCTTAATGCTTTGCTTAGCTTTTGGAAGACATCTTTCGCTATTCCAATGCATGTTCGTATTTCGGTGTCATATTTTGAAACACTACCGAAATATTTTAATGTTTGTACTTGCTCGATCTTGGTGTCTCCGATTCGTAGTTCGCATATTGGGCTGTTCTTTTTGCTGACAACCATACATTCTGTATTCTTACAAATGATGCTTAGTCCTTACTTCTCGCTTTCCTTCACTGTCTCTGTTGGGGTTTTTGTAGTTTCCTTTGCTATATATCTGCTATCAACACTGTGTCATCTGAATATCTTATTTTGTTAAGATTGTTTTCTCAATAATGAATCCTGACAGGATTTTAATTCTCTCAAAATCGCTTCGCTCTAAAAAGTTGAATAACTCCCGGTGAAAAGAGACATCCTTGTCTTACGTTCTTTTGATATTTTTAAAACTTGAACAAAAGATCAGATTATATTTTCCCCAGTATAGTAATATTAATTCCTTTATGTTCTCTCTCTCTCTCTACTTCATCTTTTCCTATAAATTTTTCTAGAAATTATTCTGACTACTATCTTAGTTTCTGAATTCCATGTTTCGCAGGCTTTCTCAAGCATATTTCGTATCCAGTAATCTTTGAATAAAATTCAAATATTACCGAATGAAAGATTAACCAAAACATAGCGAAAAGAAAAAAAAAAAAAGAAAGAAAAAGAAGAGGCTAGAATAGCAATAGTTCCTTTCAGATGGTTTGGTTGTTTTTGCTTAGTGGCATATCAACACCTCTATGGGTTATTCAATGCTAAAATCTAAATATTTTGTACGCAATTTTGTTTATTTATTTATTTTTAAATAATAGTGGTTTTAGCAGCACAAGTTTTACTAATTAACTCATAGCTGGGGGAGAAGAGGTGGATTCATACCCTTCCTAAGGGAATTTGCGCGTAATTGAATATAACTGAAATTGGAACTTGGCTCTCTGATTAACAATTCCAAACCTTTATCCATTACATCACTCGCACATCCAAGCTGACAGCACCTGGTATTCCCAAGCGGTTACCCATCTAGGCTCGACGTTGCTTAACTTCGGTGATCGTACGGGAACCTGTATTTCAACGTGATGTGGCCATAACTCATTCCTTTCAGAATTTTAAACATATTAAACTTCTGAACGTCTGTGTGCAAATTTTGAACGGTATGAATGGAGCGTATAAAATTGCGTTAAAAAGGCGCCCAAACCTAAGCCTACACCATTTTATACCAACATACTATTTCAGGGAAACGAAGAAAAAGATTGAGACAGCACGACTGCACCTGCCACTCAATAATATAATGTTATATTTAGACTTGCTTTCTAAACTGCAAGAAATTATAGAGTACTGTGGATAGTGAAGCGTAAAGTGTCCTTGGCTATTTGTAAGGACGAAAACAAGCGTCAAAGTTGAGTTTAAAAATAAACAGCAGTGATAGCACGGATGCTTAAATAAATTGTCAAGGATTTTTTTTTTTTAATCTCTAGTTATTAGTAACTCAGATAATTTGCAACCAATTCATTGAATTTACAAAGTCCGATTACGTTTCCCGTTTTTTTTATCAATAATATTAAAAAAACAAAAAATAGAAAAGGAAGTAAAGTTCAAATGCAAAAAAAAAATCGTATTTAAAAATACAGTCTAATGGCAAATATTTTTTAATGAAAAACATCAGCGATGTTTGATAAAAATGAGCTTTTTGGTTTGTAATCATTAAAAGGTATGTGTAATTAGAAACTACTTGGACAGTAGATGTCGTCGAGATTGTTTAACAGAAATGCGCGCGCAACTAACGTTCATTGCTAACCCTAACCCACCGAATTATTCTGTCCATAGTCTTCATGATATCTAATCGTCATCAATTATTTCAGGAGATTTTTTTAAAATTGTGTTGGGCGGCTATACGATCTTTATGGCGATTTTTAAGCGTAGCTTAGATGTGGAACAAGACCGAAAGCATGAAGGACCCAATGAGGATCGAATTCACTACTCAGTCATAATTGTTCTAGCGAGACAAGCTTGCTAACCACTACACAACGTCAAATTGCTCCGGCTTTACGATATTTATGATGGCTGACAAACAAAAAATCAGATTTTGCGTAAAAACTGAAAATTTGCTACCGAGATCCTTGAAATGTTTTGCCAAGCTTTTGGCGAACGTTCTTTAGGTCGAACATAACTTTCTGAGTGGCAAACTCGTTTCAAAGCAGGCTGAGCGTTGGTTCAAGGTGATAAGCGTTCTGGGTGACCAATTACGAACACAATGCAATGTAGAATAAGAAATAAGAAATAAAAAATGTAGAATAAAATCATGGCCTTCTCATTGCCTCATCGCTGGCAATCCATAAAATCTTTCAAATGATTAGAATCAATGATTGGTTCTGCTAATAGTTCATAATAAGGGAAATCTCTTTAAGAAACGGAGACTATTGGTGGCATAATGAAACCAAATAAGAGGCTGCATCTGTTGCTGGGTTGGTTGGTTGTTTTTTGTTTAGCGGCATATATTTTACCATTCAGTATATCAAGCAAATCGTTCTTTGAAGGTGACGAGTACTTCGTAAACGTGCACCCAGCAGCTAAACAGCGCATGCGGTGTGTTACCATAAAGAGAGATGCATTTTGTTTCAATGGGTTTCATGCATAAAATGATTACGCGCTTTATTTTTAACGAAAAATCGTGACATCGTTGAAGCGGGTTGTTTTAGCATGTTATTAGAATGCCGTCATGAGCCTCGGTATAAGTTGCGTGAACAATAGGTATTGTACTAGCAATTCGGATGTCAAACTATTTCGGGAGTTCATCGACAAAATGAAACTCATTGATACATTTTGAAGTGAGAATACAAAACAGAAGGGCAACGTAGACCTGAACCGTTCAAAGCAAATTTAATTCAACGTAGCCATCGAACTACTAATCCTACTCTGGCGACCGGAAGAAACGGGCCGGGCTATTTCAATTTTAATTTGTCCAACTTACGCCTTATCTTCCTACATTTTATTCTGTGGCTTTATGTTAAATGAAGCTAAACTTAGTAAATACAAGATAGAAGAACCCGGGAGAGGAAGGCTACAGTGTGGAGAGAAAAGAGACGGTGGGAGACACAGAGACGATGGGAAGGGAGGATGTTTTGCTGATTAGATCGGTGAAAGCGAAGGTTCTATTTCTGGCGTAGTATCTACAACAGACTCAACCTCACCTTATCCCACTCAACGAAAAATTAATTTCAATTGACATACACAAAACTTTACACACTGATAATTTACACTGAAGTTTCGAATTAAGTACAAGATTAGCGAGGTTACGAATTTCGTTCAAAAAGTGTAAGCTCAAGTCGTAGAGTAATGTACTCTCCTCAGAAGCGATAATGTAGCCTTGTGCCGATCCTGGTCAACGGCAACCAATAATGTAGCCCACTCCCCCGTGTTGGTCTAAGTTCCTTCCGACCACCGTGATTACCATCTAGCTGACCCCTCACTCGTTAACGCGTTACTGATCGGTCGCTGGTATCATGTTGATGACCACGGTTCCACTCGATCTGACTTTTTTCTCCTTCACGATCCTTCACTCCTCTGTCGTTGTGTTTTTGATTTCAGAGGGTAAAAAAAATCGCTGATGAAGTAAACTGAAGCGAAGAACAGGTCGATGATGAGGAGCTACACACAAAAAGAATTCTTTGGAATAAAAATTAACTCGGATTAAAAAAAAAAAAAGCAACGATTTGGTTTATATATGATTTATTGTATACAGCGGTTTTAAACCTTCTCACTTACTGTTATAATTAAATGACATTAGGATCCCCTTCTGGAGTTTGCAACTTGTGTTAGTAGTAATTTCTAAATTCCGGTATTCAGGGCCGGCACAAGGTCTTGATCAGGAGGTCTCGGTGAACGATGTGGATCCCAATAGCAGTAATGTGGGGACTCTTCATGTTGTCCAAACCTCCAGCTTATATGGAGACCTGCGTCCGGCATCAATCTTTTTCTAAAATTCCATATTATCAAAATATGTTTACTCGAGTGATTCTCCAAATTTAGGGGTTTTCCAACTCCCTTTTGAGATTGTTCAGAAGAATCAAGCCGTTCTTTAACTCCAACTACCTTCACGTTTCATCTTTCACCATTGCTCCATGTAAGTGGTGCTAAAATTTGTCTCTTCCTTTTCCCATTTTCTCAGCGTCTAACCTCAGCCGATTCCAAGGGCCGGCACAGCGTCCCTGTAACGAAATTTCCAGAATGCGTGGGCGAAAAGGAAATTTCCAGCTATTAATCTTTCTTTAACAGCTTGTCTCACGCTGTGATTTCCCAAAACCATGGACTTGCTCGGAGCCCATCCAGGTGGACACCATTGCCAGCCAATTTCAAGAGTTGTTTTGTGTGTGAGGAAAAAATATTCCCAATTTCTTTAGTAATAAAAAATGATCTTTCTTTGTTTATATGTTTCTCGATTAACATGACCTTAGTGTCTTTTTGCCCATGGTCACTCCAAGTCAGCAATTAACCTTTCTCCATCACTTGCATCCAAATGAATATGAATTAATCTAGGATATAAAATTTTTGACGAATGCCACAGAAATTAAAATGAGCGAACTCGTCAGGCTAATCTCTATCGTTGTAGGGACACTTTTCAAACCAGATATTTTTCCTGGCTCGCTTTACAGAAGAATCGTAAATGTTATTTCATCGACAACATATGTTTTTTTTTTCTATTTGACATCTTCGAGGATGCATTAATGGTCTTTTTTATCGACGGGAAATGGAGAAGGACGTGTAGTCTTGGTGTTGCTCAATCTTACTGAATTCCGTTTAGTTAAATTTGGGTTCGATTCTCCTTGGAACTGTTCGGGATTTCATTTATTATTCTGAAACATGATTTTCAACGCATTTCGTTTTGAATTTTCTTCTCAACTTTTCAATCCACCTTCCTACAAACTTCAATAATCATCATCCAGTTAGTAGACTCTTTCCTCTTCCTTTCTTTTTTCTTGTTTTTTTTTTTAATTTTTTTTTTTTATTTATTAACCACCTGAGGTCCCAATAATGAATCATAAAATTTGCACTATGTAGAGTAACACCGATTCAAGGGTGGATACAGTTATTTGATATAGACAGATTTTTTAGGTATCACAATATATTTGCAAACATGTATTCAAGCTGAAACCAGGAACTGACCTTGGTTAGGTTTGGTGGGGAGGGAAAAGACATTTCATTGATACATATTATCAAATAAGAAAAACTGATATCAATAAATGGTGGTACTTGTTTGTAAAAACATCAGGTAGCTCAACTTGCAGTAGAACAAATCGGGAATAAGAAAAGAAAAACAAAGAACATTAAAACAAGGCAAAAACAATCGTCCAGTGCTCAAGCTCCAAGTCCAAAGAAAAACAAAACAAAACGAGTAAAAAACCAACTACGTAAAGTGCTCTTTACACTAAGTAGAGCAAAACCTAAGATAATCCTAAGGAAATAGGGAAACCTACTTAGGTTTCACCTAAACGGATCTTCAGGGTAAAGCCCGTTCTACAGGATTATCTTTATATATATATATATATATATATATATATATATATGAAATCCAGGCAATTTTCCTGCAATTGCTTCTGTCTTCAACCAAGATTTCTATTATAGAAATATCCCAGCGTCCGCCCATTGTATATATTGTCGTGTCCATAAAGAAATACATAAATTAAAAAAATAATTATACTGCCACTGTGTTGTGTCTATAAAAATAAATATTAATTATAGTATCAAAAATAGTTATAGTTATCGTTAAGTCACTGATTCTAAACCAATGAGAACCGACTCCACTTTTCTCCTTTACACACAAACACGTGGTATTCTCACTTTCGGATAAGCAGTTCACACGAACGGGTTGTTAACACGTGCGTCAACGAAAATTTCGTCTCTTTACTTTTCAGGTCATAATAGTAACATTTATCTTTTAAATAAAAAAAGTCGAAGTAAGAAAACTCCAGACACTTGTATTTTACAACTATCTGGACACTTGTTGCACATATCTAGTTTAAAAAAAAAAAAAAAAAAATACGAAACTGACTGTATATATTTTGTTTCTTTATCCTTATCCTTCTGTCGGCT